CCCCAAAACCCCAAAACCCCAAAACCCCGTACTTCTAAAATCGACAGCTATTAACTTTTTGTCGGGAGAGATTTATTAATCAATTTCATTAAAATGGTAGATAAAATGCAAGTCGATAAAAAGTTCATCAACCAAAAAATCAAGATTTCAGTAGATGATATTCTTGATAAATACGATTGCCCAATCTGTATGTGTAAACTATTAGAACCATATATTGTGAAGTGTGGGCATACTTTTTGCAAGGTAATAATAGCATTTTTATTCTAATTCGGGAATTAATAAACTATAGAATTGCATTTTAGAGTGTGTAAATAGACAGCATGAGTGCCCTGCATGCAGATAGAAATGTACCAAGGAAGATATTTTTAGGAATTATTCTCTTGAGATACTTCTACAAAAGCTAAGTGACGAAAGAGAAAAGGAATAGCATCTTTATTTCAATAATTTAGCCGGAAACGCTGTTGATTAACTAGATAATCATCATGGTGATGGTTAGTTGAACAAATCACCTATTGAGACCGTGTTCACAATGAATCTGAGGGATTCCTTATTGGGGTATCAGCAGTATTATGAATTATTGCTCAAGGAAAAAGATGAACTTGTTAATAAGGTGAAGCAATCACATTCATAGGATCTATTAAATGCAAAGTTAAACGAGAACGAACTTGAGTAGTAGAACATTTTCGAACTCATAGATATCTAATCTAAATAGATTGAGAATAAATTCTCAGTGGCTATAGATCAGCTTGTACAAAGCTACGACGAACATATGAGATCTATCATTCCTTAACCAAAGCTATTGCCGATAAGAGTTAATATTTATGTTGAGTCTAAAGGTTTGAGAGTTGAGAACGTGCATGTTAAGCCATATGAGAACGCCAATGATTTGCTAAAATTAGTTGAAGAGTATCAGAAACAGAGAGGAGATCCCGTACTCAACTGGAACAGAGAATAAGTTCAGATATTTGTGACAGGTCCACTGAGAGCTGATAATTAGAACATTAATTGGGATAATTTAAATGGTGAGGCAGTAAAATAAATTGATCTTAATAGTGGTTCATTAAGCCAACATGTCTTAATTAACTATTGGGCAACTCCTTTCTAAACTTATAACATAGCCGCAGGGTCTACAATAACCATTAAGGGAGGACCAGTCCTATTTGAAAGCGATAAGCTTTTGGAATGTATGACTTTGTACTATGATAAAGATCCAAACTCCACCTTCAACTACTTTTCTTGTAAGACATGCAACTCAAATTGTAAGTTACTTACATTTATTTTGAAAATTTCAGGGATTTGTGAAAACTGCAAAGATGGCTGTCACAAAGGGCATGTATTACTCCCTCATTTGTTGAATCATAGACCGACTTGGGCATGTTGCTACTGCATGAAGAAAGATCTATGCAAGTAATATTGATCCTCTTTAATATATAATTTAGAATTGCAAACAAGAAGAGCCCATACCAAAAGTGATTACTAAATTATTATGAATGATATGACAGTAGAGATGAATCCTTAATTTATTCAAATATTCTATATTAGAATTTTAAAACTAAATATCATTTCTATAAACTTCCCGGCTCATGATTTCCTCAAGCGATTTCAATCAAAGAATCTGCTTGATTACCACTTTGAATAGTTGGACTTATATCTCATGTCAGGAAGTCCAGTTTACCCTACTCTTCCAAATGCGGCATATAAGGGGTTCACATTGCCTTGTCTTACTATTCTTTAAGCCGTATTTTTTCCTATCGTCATTACATGAGATCTATGGGCATCGCTTGTCCACTTAGGTGCTAGTTTTTTGTGAGGCATTATTCAAAATCAATATTAATAATAAAAATATCCTGCATATAGAAATGATTTAATTTTGTTGCCGCTTTTCGCTATTCGAATTGCAGATTCTTGGGGTTTTGGGGTTTTGGGGTTTTGGGG